GGAAGGATGAAATATCGGTACTTAAGAGAGATGACAAAAATGAGTTGATGTTTAAGAGTTCATTTGAGACACATAATTGAGATGGAGACGAAACCGAGCTCGAGACACGCAGCATTCTTCGCGCGACAACCTCGCTTGATCAGAGCCCAGCTTAACTAAACTTGTTGGACGATGTGCCGAGAGAAAAGAATTCCCCGTTGTAGGGGTGAAGGGGAGAGTAATGACGTATGTTTACTTGAGTGCGAATCAGCTGATCGGAAGCTGATCGCCAGCTGATCGGCAGCAAAAAACAACAAGGAGTGTCACGGTCTCGGCACCGTAACAAAATGAGTCTCGAAAATAATATATTTTTCACGCTGAAATAATTGGCTATACAAAGACGTGAAATATAACTAAAACGATCGAAAACTTTAATGCCGAAATATAAGATTAATTGATAAGCAATAATTTTCACTTTGTCAAACTCCAAACATAATTGTATATAGAAAAATTATATCTTAAAATTTTTTAAATTTGTTTTTTTTTCGTCTATCTAAAAATGATTTTTGATTGGTCGATTTTACTTATACTTAGGGAGGATTCAAACCTTGGCAGAAAAGCAGAAATCAGAAAAGCAAAAGCCAATCAGAACTCGCATGGCAGTAAGTTTACTACCACCGAGTTTACAATCTAGTAAGCTTACTACCACCGAGTTTTACAATCTAGTAAGCTTACAGCCAACCCGAGTTCTGATTGGCTTCTGCTTTTCTATTTTCTGTTTCTCTGCCAAGGTGTGAATCCTCCTTTACAGTTATAATTTCAGCTTATGGATTTATTGCTATTGGCTGACATGTTACGCTACGCTCTATTAGCTAAATCCTTATGATGTCTTAATGTTACGGCTATGGAATTTGTGTGCTATAGCCTTACCCCGCACGCTGTTAATATCGTAGAGCACTAACGTCATCTGTTGTAAAACGTGACAATATTACCACACTGCATTCAAGGTCCGTAGATAAACGACGAGAGGGGAAGGAAAATCCTCGCATGAGCCGCCAATTTGGGCCGCGAAGTTATGTATGTTATATGTCGATGTGTGTCGTACGAAGTACTAATGAAAAAAACTGTAGTTGACCAGCTTCCGGATGCGATGGCTGGATTGGCGGCGCCATTTTGGGGCCCAATGCTAAAATATGAATGCGATGACCTTCCTTCCCCTCCCGTCGTTTATCTACGGACTTTGCATTAATTCAAATAAAAATCACATCGGATAAGTAGATATATACAAGACATACGAGGTATTAAATCCAAGAATGTAAAGTTTAAAGGTACATATATTGAATCAATCACAGTATCAACATCAAGGCAGCTCAATTCATCATCCTACTAAACGTTACATAGATATTTGTTAATGACTCCGTAATCAGTACGTTAAAAATTCCATCTGTATTCTACATCCGAGGAAGAAGATCAAACCGATAATAACGGCAGACACCTCAATTGCCGGATGACAACGATCATATGAACAGAGAGATTCCGAGATTATTGTTCCTGCCAAGCCACTCAGTGCAAAGACAACCCCGTACTGCAAGACAGTTCGTAAAAAATGACTATTACTAGAAGGATCTGGTTAAACAATCTCAGAAAATTCATCCATACCGCTCAACGCTGCGTGAGATCGTCGCACAACGTCAGGTTTTTGCCTATGCATGTGAAAGCAGGATATTACGTATTGTGTAATAGTTAGCATGTTAGACTAAAAGCATTATGCATCAATGCCGTCTATGTTAGTAGACAAATAAGCCCATTGTTCTATGCAATGAGGGAATCGAAAGTCGGTTTCATTTAAAAACCGACTCCCTAACACGGGTTTGCACCTCATAAAATCCATAGAATAACAGATTTAAACATACCTATGTCATTTGTGAGCGCCAATGCCCAAAACGTTTGTTCATTAGTCATTACCATGTTTTTGCGCGCGATGGAATCCTTTTTCCCATTTAACTCGTTTTCCGAGCTCATTACATTACAAAAGTCATTGGCATCCTGGAGCTAGTGTAAAAAGTTAAGTTTTTGAAGGATCTTGGGTGTAATACTCGAAAATCATGTTTCAACCTTAACCATATAAGCTAAGAAGTTCACTCCGTAGATCATATTACATTACACTTAATTATAAACAATACATTACCATATTTTAATATATACGATATTACATCATACATGATACGAAAATACCAGAGTTATCTGGAGGGGAAGCTGGGCCCGGCGTGTGAGCTCGGCCGTTTGGAACTAAACGATCTAAACTTAAAGATCACTAACAGCATTAAATCTGCAGCAAAGCGAACATGCGCACTCAAAAACAGAGCCAACCCTAAGATCACCCAGGCTACGGAGAGACTCATCGAAGAAAGAAGGAACACTGATAGAGACTCTATAAGATACACGCAGCTCAACAAAGAAATAAAGAAGGCGATCCGAAGGGACGTAAGAGCAAATAAAACGAGGGAAATTGAGCAATCGAGGACAACATGAACCTCAAATCTCTCAGATCAAAACTAGCCAGGGAAAGGGCGAGAATCAACTGTATGAGAAACAACGAGGGGAGATCGTGCATGAGAGAAATGATGTGGTGACCGTTGTCCGCGACTTCTACAAGGAATTGTATAAAGAATCAAACACTAAACCCTTACATCTCAACAGGAAACAAGTAATTAGAAATGTAGGTTCGGAGGAGATCCCGGAAGTATCAAGAGACGAGCTCAGAGTAGTGCTGAAAGAGTTAAAAAATCGCAAAAGCCCGGGTCCGGACCAAATAACTGGTGAAATGCTGAAAGCTGGAGGAACTGGACTGGAGGTAGCACTTTGTGCACTGTTCAATAAATGTTTGAAAGAAGAAAAAATCCCAGAGGCTTGGCATAATCCCGAGGTTATTCTTTTGTTTAAAAAGGGAGACCCTGCCGACATTGCGAATTACAGGCCGATCAGCCTACTTAACATCCTTTATAAAGTGCTGACAAAGATAGTCACGAAGCGCCTCACTTACAAATTGGACTTCCTCCAATCAATTGAACAGGCCGGATTCAGGAAAGGTTATAGTACCATCAATCACCTTCAGGCTATACGCACGCTGGTAAAGAGATGCACAAAATACAATATAATATTCCGCTTAATATGGCATATGTGGACTACCAGAAGGCATTTGACTCAGTGGAGACTTGGGTGATAATGGAGGCAATGGATTTGGCGAGAGTCGACTCAAGATACTCGAACTTATAAAATACATCTATAGACAAGCCACACTGGAAGTCAAAATCAACGATGACATGTGCACCGAAAAGGTTCAAGTGAAGAGAGGAGTTAGGCAGGGTGACACAATTTCCCTGAAACTGTTCACTCTGGCACTTGAATACGTTTTCAAAGAGCTGCAGAGTTGGAAGGGATGTTACAAGAGCTGAATTGTGCATCCAGACAGGTGGGCCTAAGTATGAATTTACAAAAGACCAAGATCATGTCCTCTAAAAACATAAAAGTGACCATCGATAAAGTAACCATCCAAAATGTAGAGGAATATGTGTACTTGGGCCATACCATCAAACTGAGCAAACAAAACCAGACGGCGGAGATTGCAAGACGGGTCAGTTTGAGTTGGGCAGCTTTTGGTAAGTTAAGGTATATTATCATCAGGAGGATGGGACTCAAAGTGGCGCCCCAGAAAACCGAGGCCATCTTTTTACACGATGGCTCTCGCGGGGCGCCGCCGAGAGTCCACATCACAGTGGAGGACACCCCAATAGAGGTGGGGACCTGTATGAAATACTTGGGTCTCCACCTCGACAGTAAGTGGACCTTCAAAGAACACTTCCGCCGCATATCCCCCAAGGTGGAAAGGGCAGCAATGGCACTACAACGCCTGCTGCCCAACCTTGGGGGACCTGGTGGAGGTGTAAGGAGGTTGTACGTCGGGACTATACATGCCATGCTGCTGTACGGAGCCCCAGTGTGGTCAAGATGCCTGGAGGCTGCCCGCGGTCCTAGAAATACACTAAGACAAGTGCAGAAGCGGGTGGCTAACAGGATTAGCAGGGGCTACCGTACGGTCAGCTGGACGGCAACGGGGGTACTCTCCGGAGTGCCCTCCGTCGAGATGCTCGCCCGCATGTATGCGGAAGTGTACACGCGCACACGTGCGTACCAGCGGGCGGGCATCACTTTGACGGATAGTCTCCGGCGTGCTGTGAGGGTCCACTCCCGACGGGCGCTGATCCAAAATTGGAAGGAGTTCCTGGCAGACCCAACACTGCCGGGACAGTGCACCGTCGGGGCAATACGGCCCTGTCTAGAGAACTGGCTAGACAGGGCCAAGGGTGGGGTGTCCTACCACATGACGCAGGTGCTCACCGGGCATGGTTGCTTCGGTGAGTACCTGCAAAGAATCGGGAAGGAGCGCACGACGCGGTGCTATCACTGCGGCCACGAGCGCGATACCGCCCAGCACACACTCGCCGAGTGTGTCGCCTGGGCGGGTGAAAGAGTGGAGCTCGTGGCCGCAGCAGGGATGGATCTGTCATTGCCCTCAATAGTGGGGGCAATGACAGATAACGAAGATGTTTGGAGGGCGTTCTCCTCCTTCTGCAGCAAGGTTATGCTGCAGAAGGAGGAGGCCGAGAGGGAGAGGGAGAGAGAAGGAAGGGCAGAGAAAGGGGACGTGCCCCCTCTTTCCCCGGCACCGGCGGGCCTGCCCGTTTGTGGTGTCGGGGATCGGGGGGGGGGGCGCGCCCCCAGCGGAGGAGAAAAAGAAGGAGAAAACACGGAGGGGGGAGGTGTGCCCCCTCCCCCTCCCTCGCCCTCGGCGGGCTTGCCCGTCGATAGCGGCGGGGGTCGGGGGAGTACAACCTCCGAAAAAGGAGAGCAGACGTGGAGGGCGGGGCCGGGCCTTCCCTTTTCGCGCCGTCGGCGAGCTCGCTCGTTTGCGGCGGCGCGGATCGGGGGGGGGGGTCCGCCCCCAACACACCTGCGTCAACTTTTGACGCAGGATGAGGTTCCCGGGGGGGGGGGGCGGACACAACTAAGTCCCTAATGCCCCCCCCTGGAGCTTTACGAGAACCGGGGGCGTGGACGCATCACCCCACCGGGGGGGTGGGTCTACGCACCCGGAAGGGAAATCCCCCGGTTGCGACCGAATCCCAACTCCTAAGGGAGCGGAAGGAGTCGCAGCCGGGGGGACCGAGGGGGGGCCACGTGTCCCCGGCGGGTGGGCATTGCTCTCCCGCTCGGGGCGCCTGGGTCCCCCTCTTTGACGAAGACGTGACGCACGGGGCCCTCTCACCGGAAGCCACATGGCACCGGTGGGAGGGCAACGTCGTCCACGGAGGGGTTTCTCTCCTTCTGAGAGGGACCCCCTGGTGAGGGCCTTCGGAGTGAATGCCGAATTCCCCTCTCCCTTCGGAAGGGGGAGGAAGCACCACTCTAGAGGCGGGGGGTGGCGGCTCGAGCGGGACACTCGAGCCGTGACCCCGCCCCCCAAACTCTTTGGGAGGGCGCGACGTGGGGTTGATACCGCCCTGCGTCGCAACCGCGAGGACCCCGCACGATGCAATTCGCAGGGGGGAGAGTATTGCCTTCTGCAACACTCTCCCAAGGAGGGATAAGGCGGGGGGGCGGCGAGACGGCATGGGATCCCAGCATCCTCGCCGTCCCCCTTAAACGCCCGAGAAGGTATCCGCAGTGGGTTTAGTGAGGTATGTCTTGAGCCCCCTGACCGATTCATTCGTGGATCGGCCGAGGGGAGCAAGAAGTCCCACATAACCATCCGCTCTCTTCCCGGAGAGCGGTGGTATCCATGAGGATTCCCACTGCGTCAAAAAAAAAAAAAAAAAAAAAAGTTAAGGTATATTATCAAAGACCCTAAAATTCCCATAAACCTCAAGCAAAAAGTATATAGATCATGCATACTGCCGGTGACAACTTACGGCCTGGAAACTATGACACTGACCCAGCGCAGTGCAAATTCACTTAGGGTATGCCAAAGAGCAATGGAAAGATCAATGTTAGGGATCAGTCTTAGAGACAGGGTGAGAAATGATATCATAAGATCGAAGACAGGAGTCCCCGACATCGTCGGACAAATAGCAGCGCTGAAGTGGAGATGGGCGGGCCATGTGGCCAGGTGCAGGGATGAAAGGTGGAATAAGCGTCTGGTGTGTTGGAGAACGAGGGCGTCGACAAGGAGCGTGGGTCGACCGCAATCATTTGTGGTCAACCGCATTTTCTTGCTCGCTTGTCATGCATACTGGCAACGGATTTCGACTCAACGCGTCTACATGCGTCATCGCTTTTCTCGGTCGATGTTGAATGACGTAATCGAACTCCTCTAATTGCAGAGCCCATCTTGCTACTCGGACACACAAGTCTTTCTTACTCATTGCCAGACTGAACGCTTTGCAATCTGTAATAATTTTAAACGAGATACCTATTAAATATACGCGAAACTTTCTCAAAGCTTTTATGATCGCGAGTACCTCGAGTTCGTAGCTGCTGTACTTTTCTTCGGCCGCGGTTGTACGACCGCTCGCATAATACACGAAGCGCAAGGTATTATTGTTCTCACACTGTAATAAAATAGCGCCATAGCCGTACTTCGACGTGTCGGTATGGAGTTCGGTGGTCGTATTGACAGTATATATTTTTAGAACAGGATTGTTCACCAAATTAATACTATTTTGGTGCTTAACTCGTTAAACGCATTTCTCTTTTCCTTCAAAACGAAAAGTTACATTTTTTCTTAATAAATTTGTCAACGGCCGCACGATAAACAAATAATTACAAATGAATTTTCGGAAGTAACCTGACAGTCCCAGAAAACTTTGGAATTGTTTTACATTTTCCGGCTCTGGAAACCGCGTAACCGCATCCGTCTTCGCTTCCGACGGCCGCACACTGCCCGACTCTATTACGTGTCCCAAGAACTCCACCTTCGCTTTCAAAAATTGACACTTTCCCCAGTTTATCGCCAAGCCCGATTCACTCGCTCTGTCAAATACTTGCTTGAGTCTCTCTAGCGCCTCCTCGCAGTTTTCCGACGGCACGATCAAATCATCCATATACGTTAATACGGTCCCGTCGTTAATCCAGTCTTGAAAAACCGCGTTCACGAATCTTTGGAAAACGGCCGGCGAGTTGCACAAGCCGAACGGCATTTTTAAAAATTCGTATTCCCCGTCGGGCGTAATAAATGCCGTATATTTTCGACTTTCTTCGTCTACCTCTACGTGAAAGAATCCGTTCTCAAGGTCTAGCGTAGTAAAAATTTTCGCGCACTGCAGCCGGTTTGATCGTCAATAAGCGGCAAAGGATATCGATCCTACACAATCTTTTGATTTAATTATCGAAAATCGACGCACAGTCGATACGCGCCGTTTTTTTTTTTTTTTTTTTTTTTTTTCCACTAAAACTACAGGGCTCGCATACTCCGATAACGATGGTCGCACAATGCCGTCGCGTGTCCATTCATCTACTTGTTTTTTATAATTTGCTTTTCTTGTTTGGAGCATCTCCGCGTACGCTGATATACGGGCTCCTCGTCTTTTAAAATCAATTTTATTTTTACGTCTATATCCCGCGTTCTATTTGGTGTATAATTTTAAATAAAATTTTCTAACGAGTCTCTGTGATTATTATTAAAATGCGCAACGTCTAACTCGTTTGCTTCGAGCACGCAGTCAATTTGAAGTACCTCCGGTAACCCGGTCAATTCCGAAGCCGGACTAGATTTTACGACAACCATTTTGCCGTTCCTTATTATAATTTCAACGGTTCTTAAAAAGTCGATGCCAATAATTAAGTCATACCGCATCAGCCCGTCGGATACTACTCGTATTCTTATCGGATATACGTTCTCGTCGATGCAGACGTCAGCATGAAATTCGCCTAATGTCTCATTTCCGTCCGAACCAATACCGCAAAAATATATTTATTTTTTTTTCAGCGGAATATCTAATTTATTATGACAATCCGCGCGCATCAAGCACATGTCGCTACCCGTATCTATCATGGCTTTAACTTTATACGCACGTCTTTATAATATTTTTTGTCGTAGATTTCACAGTACAGCTGTCTTTGGTGTTCGCTTTGCCGGTGCACCTCGCCGCCACGTGTCTGCGTCCGCCGCAGCAAAAGCATTTTACGCCGCTCTCCTTCGTCGGACAGTTTGCCCCCAGGTGGTTCTGTCCTCCGCAATTGTAGCAGCGACTGGGTTTCTGCTCTCCTCTGTCGCTCCTCCGCTGCTTCGCTCCTCCGTGAGGCCTCGTGTCGTTGCTCGCCTGTGCCGTCGGGGCGACGGCGCCGTCCTTATGTATGTCCCTTTGGCCGGAGGGTCACTCTCTCGAACGCTCGCAACAAGGATGCCGTCGTCTCGAATCCTTGGATTCTTGCCTGATTCTGCAAGTTCAGGTCCGTTATCCCGTCGATAATATAATCGACGAGATCATTCTCTGCTACTTGTTAGCCAGAATAATTTTTTCGTGCATATATGCGCTGAAAACTTTGCCTCTCCTCCAGACTCGTCCTTCGAATTCTCTTTTTCGCACCAATTTGTTCGGACGATGATCGAACATGTCCTTCATCTTTTGCAAAAAAATTATCCATCAACATCTCGATATATTCGGGCCTCGATCAAAACCATTCGGCCGCCTTTCCCTTGAGTCGCGATCCTATTAATATCTTTGTCATCTTATCTCGCAGTCTGTATGTGGTCGCGAAGAGACGCACCTGCTTCTCACATACGTCCCAGGCCTCACTCGCGGCAATAACTGTTATGCCGACCCGCGCCGTCGTTTCCATCGTCTCCGTCGGGTCCATCTCCTAATAAGCTCTCACTTACTGCACCCGCCTGTCAGTTCCCGCGCCACGCTCAGCCTCTCTCTCTCCTCTCATCCCTCGAAGGAGCTCGGTCTCTCGCCGCGTCAACGCGAGCTCTCGCTCCAGAAGCTCCTTTTCTTGCCTTAAATTCTATATATAAATTAATCTCGAACTTACATATGGAAAAATAGGCGAGAAAAATATAGGTCCGCAAAGTCGCTGAAGCGGGAATCGAACCCGCGTCTTTCACTTTCCGGGCGACTGTTCTTACCAACTAAGCTATTCATACCCTTTCGATCCAATATTTTTCATTTGCCTTATAATGGATGATAATAAATAACGCCTTATAATGCCTTCTAATAGATGTTAGTAAATAACGCTCAGTTGGTAAGAGCAGTCGCCCGGAAAGTGAAAGACGCCGGTTCGATTCCCGCTTCAGCGACTTTTCGGACTTATATTTTTCTCGCCTATTTTTCCATATGTAAGTTCGAGTTAATTAATATATGGTGTGCAATATTCGGTGCTACGCGGAGTGATTATAGTTAGTGCGCGGACGCGAGTGTCAAGTTTAGGACGGCACAGAAAAAAAAAAGAAAATAAAGAAAGTTCACGGCACACAATATATTTTACAAATAATTATACAGTACAAAAGAAATGCTCTAATGCAAGTGAACTGCAATTAGAAGCGTGCAATGATTGCCGGAAGTGCAATCCAACGACAAAATCGATCTCCCGCGAGAAGTGCGACGAAAATCGAGAAGAGAGAAAGTAACGATGTCTGTACGCGCGAACGACTGTACGACGATAGATCCGTTCGACAAGAGAGCGCGTGAACGACGTGATTGTTTTCTACCGACCTTCGAGAGAGTTCCGAGGTAAGGAACACCGTGTTTGTGTTCCTTCCACATAAAGATAGAATCCTCTCGAATGTCGGAGGACAAAATCACTTGTTGTCGTCGGTTTATATTTATTACGAGACGGTTACCTGTCACCGTTCAAACGACAGATATTGCGAGCGTTAAAGACGCGCGCTGTCTTGCGATATGGCGGGGCGCGTTTGCTCGCGATTGGCGCACGGAGATTTAGCGCGAATCGTCGCGCCAAATTCGAGCGGTTATTTCAGCGCAGTTAGCTGCGCTTGTCGCAAGGCGAAGAATGCACTCCGAGATGCATTCACACACACACATACACACACACACACACACACTTTCTCTCTCTCTCTCTCTCTCCAATCCGCAACATATGGAATTTAGTAATCTCAAACCAAGAGATACAATTGCGAACAATTAATTTTCGCGCTTGGCTCTATTGGCCGATTTAAATATCATAATTATATTATTATTAATTGTTACGTCCTGCGGTCTCCACGATTCTTTTCTTTCGGAGAACGCAATGCGATATCTGAAATATCGCAGGCGCATACGATCTGACAAGCAAAGTAAACATAATCCGAAAGAGAGCTAAATCATCGAAAATAAAAAATATACACACCTCGAGAGCCAAACAGATCAATCCATAAAATTCTAAAACTATACTCGCGGCACCTTAAAAGATAAGGCAGTTGATCGGATAACTCTAAACAATCCTCGCCTGACAGATCAGCGATATCTGTTTAAGTCACAACTCGAGAAAGTAATAAACATATCACCTCCCTTGATAAGAACAAATTCTCCATTCATCGAAAACCTAAGGCTCTAAATAAAAGCCCTAACTAATCGTATTAATTTCCAAAGTCAAAGAGACGTCTCCGGACCTAAAGGGCGTCATTGAAAATTTCCCTATTTGTTGGAAAATACTAACAAACCAATGGGAAGGAGGCGCAAGAATATACATATATACATATATATATATATATATATATATTTTCTTGCGCCTTCTTCTCCATTGGTTTGTATAGTTAGTATTTCCCAACAAATAGGGAAATTTTCAATGACGACACCATACGAGACACAGAGATTCTTTGCTTTCTTTTTCAATCCAAATCATTTGTATTGTAAGTAGTAGTTGTGCCTTATTCGTGGTCTTTTGCATGACACGTGTCTCCAGAGGACCACCGAGCTACCTGCAGCCAACCAAGGTTCCATCGAGCTACAATTCATCAACTAACGCTTACAATAAGTAGTAAGTTACTCGGGGCAATTGTTATCATTTTGCCTCTTGTAATAATTCCGGATTCTAAACAAAGATATTCCCTTTTTAAACTTGTAA